AATAAATCTAAAGAGATATAAATAAAATTACTTATTTTGAAATTGCGGTCGTTCTGTTTATTTGTTTGTTTTCGTTTATTTATTTTCATGTATTTGTTTGTTTTTAATGCGGTTTCCTAAGAGCTAGCGCTTCCCGAAGAGGCGCCCGCGCCCAGCCACCCGTCTCCGGCCATGCCAGAGGCGCCCTGGGCCTTGCCGCGTGCCTGGACAATGTGTTTCCAATGCTCCCGATGCTCCCATTTCTCTGCCTGTGGGTCACACAGACACGCAGGGATGGACCCAAACTCCCCTCAGCTCCCATAGTGGCAGAGGACCAAGCAGGCTTGATCATCGTGAACCCCCCCAGCACACACAAAGGCTGGAGGAACAGCAAATCCACAGAGATCCATGACAGAAAATCACCTTTGATCGATTTAATACTTTTTATTTCCCTGGGGCTTCCGGAGGCCCCAGGGAGGCCGCAGAGGCTCCAGCAACTCTCCGGATTCCAGCTCCAAAGCCCAGCGCTCCTGCCCTAGATGCCGCCTTCCCTCCGGCCTGGGCAGGGCGCTGCAGGCGCGCGGATGCAGCTCAGCTTGGACAAGTCCAAGCGCAAAGCTCCCGTTTTACCTGCGTGCCCGCGCGGGCTCCGTCGTGCTGCAGCGTTTCATCCCATTTGTTCAAACTGCTGTCTGCCAGGGGCACTCAGCTTTGCCTTATTACAATAAAATTTTTACCTATGGGTTCTTACAGAAGAGAAGGGATCGGGAAAGAGACTTTAAATTAAGGAAGGGTCTCTTGTCCCTCTGCTTCTGGTAAGATGGGCCATCTATTAGAATATGCCCATTTTCTTCCATAAATTCCATATAAGACTACACTGGAGGGCAGGAGGTTGCCGTGGCTTTTGTCTCAGCGATCTGCCCCAGGAGCACAAGCTCTTGGTGGGGAGGTGGTTGGTCCCCGTTGCATTCCTCATACTGAGCACAGAGGCAATCCTGAGGAGCAGAAATTTCCAAGATGGGCTGTGAAAGTTTCCTCTAACTGCTGACGCTGGTGAAGGACACAGGGTTAAGGAAACCTGCCCTGGGACCCTGAGGGAGGCCCGGCATTCGCTGGAGGCACCGTTTTTAGGTGTCTCTGCCAGGGGGAAGGGCTCTAAAAGGCAGAGTGCCCCGAACGCTGCCTCGAGGGCGCGGGGTGAAGCTGAAGCTCTCAGCTTGGCCTTCATCACCAAGCTGGCCATGCAGACGGCTCCTCAAAGTAGTGGTTAAAATATTTCCTTAGGCCTGCCACTTCTTCCACAGCAATAAAGGCCGCTGTCACGTGTAATGGAAGAATCTCAAGGATTCGCAGCTCTGCCCAAATTTGAGGGTGGATTTTGTTGGGAAAAGGGCAGGAGGCGAACAAAGGGAGGACGAGTGTTTTCGTGCCGCTGCCCTGGCCCAGGGACGCTGCGGAGCTGTCCTTGTCCATGGGGTGGTAGTGTTGCTCCCCGGACCCGCTCCTTGCTGCCTGCTTGCATGAATTCTGCAATTAACTTTTTTTTTTTTTTTTAAATTGTTATTTTTAAGGCTATTTTTTTAGTGTTGCTTCTTCCTGACCAGAAATGTGAGTAGGGACAGTAGTTAGTGGGGAAGTGTTTCTTAGGTTGCCTTTTTGTGGGTCTCTTTTTTGTCAATCCTGCACTATGTGCCGGGCAGGTGTACACGAGGGAGCTCTGTACCCCCACGCGTTATCAGCCTGGTTTGGGGGCCGTGCTGCGGACCTGGTGCACGTGGCCGCGATACCATTCCTGGAGGAACCTTAAAATCCCAACTTCCCTGCGTTGCAGACCCTGCTGCTTGGACGCACCAACTCCGTAGTAATGAGGGCAGTTTAGTAACCTGCAGAGAAGAGAGGTGGGGGAAAAGTAGGTAGGAAGCTGCTCTTGGAGTCTTGAGCATGCGTTTAAATTATTTAGAAAGCTAAAGCTGAGCTGGAGGCTGAGCTGGAAGACCAGGCGGATAATATGCCTAAGGGACAGGAAGAGTAAAGAAGGTTTCTCACATTTTTTTTTTTTTACACTTGCTGTGGGCTAATTAAGAGATCTATGTAATGCTGCAAACCTCTGAATGCTTAATGGGAATGAAGCTAATTAATTAACGTTACAAATCATAATCATCAAGGAATTAATCTTTCATGAACTTAATCGGGAATAGTGAATGAATGGGTATATGGGAGGATGGCTTTTGGGTATGAGTTATGGTAGTTTCGTTCCGAATCGCTGCTAGTTAGTGAAGAAACAGAGTGATATTACTGAGCTAATAACGCAGAAGGGAACAAGGCTGGGGAACGAGCACAGCCCGGAGTGGCAATTGATTTGTTTGCTGGGAAAGCTCACAAATTGGGATGGTATTTGGCAGAATCGCCCTCCTCCTAGAGATGGCCATTTGCTTATTGTAATAAAGGGCTAAACTGTCCTTGACTTCTCTGCTTGGAGGGCAAAATTCCCAAATGTTCAGGGGCCTCACGAGTTCTCCCGTCACAGTTTAATCCGGCGGAGATGAGAAGTGCAGTTTGCAAAGGAATTAAAACTGCCACAGTCATTTGTAAGGGAGGTATAGCAAGAGATTGTACACACACATATATATATATATATATATGTGTGTGCAAGAACATGTCCTGTTGACATGGGAGTTATGCTCATAAATGTCTTGGTGAGTTTGGGCCTTAGCTTGGCTTCATGGAACAGACCAGCCCCCTGTACCTCTTCTGGGTTTTGGAAGAAGAAGAAGAAAGGGTGAACTTATCAAAAGAAATATGCTTATCAAGCACATAACAAGGCTAATTTACTGCAGTTTCATGAAAACTAATTAAAGAGAAACAAGACAAGGATGAAAAAAAGGCCACAATTAAAACTGAATCAATAAATGTCTGGATTCAGGAATTTAATGCAGCCAGTAACTGAGCTATGAGGCACGCGTGTTCAGGTGTCCCTTCGGCAGCCTGGTTTTGAGACAGAGGGTTTTGCTTTACCTTCATTGTCAGAGAACCCCACATTTATCTGTAAGGGATTTGCTAATACAATGGCAATGTTTGAATCCTGCCTTTCCTTCCCCAAATATACAAGCCACCTTAATTTCTATTGTAGATTCCTTTTGTGTTTTAAGTAGGTGGGAAGAAGATGGACAAGGGAGCAGGGAGAAAAGACCGTAAAGATCGGAGGAGGAGAATGGGGGGAAAAGACTGAACGGAAGACTGAGATTCTTAAGAGATCTCCTAGAAGTTCAGTTTTACCTGCTTGCTCCACAGTTAGGAGCAGGGTTATAAGGAAACGCACAGCTTTTGTGACGGTCTAGGTGTATTCAGATCTTTGCACATAGATTTACTGTTTCTTTAAATAATGCTCAGGAGTATGTGCCAAAATTGGCAAAGTGACACAAAAGCTGACTACTGCTAACAATCCCTCTGTAAGTTAGCAAATGCTGCCAAAAATCTTTGATTGCTGAATATCTACACTGAATTCTAAAAGTTTAAGACATTCTAGAAGAAGACTGGAAATCCCAGAACCTGAATGCAGAGATTTTCAGATTTGTTTCACTTCATTCACCATCGAGCCGCTGTAAATACCCGATTTTCCACAATTTGTGTCCTGTGCCTCAATACTTGAGCTTAAGCCTGGTTTCTACTTAGTTGTTTTGCAACGTTAACTCTCAAGGTGAGACGTTCCTGCCACGTGCCTCCTGCCACCGTCTCTCGGTGCCGCATACTGCCCATTGCATTAATTAAACTTGATGTGGGACAGAAAATATGTGAACAGAGACTCTGATGAGATGGCCAATTCTTGTAGCAGCAAAGTGTTGATTTTTAAGGTTTTCTCTTCATTCAGACATCTTCAAGAATTGCAATGTTGTAATTACTGTTCTGGGACACAAGAAATTATGCTCTTGCAGCAGATTTCTTAGCAAAATGAGTGACAATTGAGCACTGACATGAGTTGGCATCTTATAATGCTTTTTTTCTTTTTTTTTTTTTTTAATGCGTTTAGGAGTGTAGTGCTTTAGCCTGGGACACCTAAGCATTATCCTGGAAGGAATGCTGAAATCTTCCAGCGTTTGCTCTTAGTTGCTTCCTGCTATAGGAGCATCTCAGGCATCTCCCTAACTCCATGGGATTGAAATGGATAACATGCCCCCTCCTGCAGAGAAAAATAAAAAGCAGAAAATTAAGGCTCCAAGAACTGCTGTTTAGGAAAAATGCCACTTTTGGAGTGAAACTGCAAGTGCAGGCAAAACTGTTGGGGACAGTGCTCCCTAGGCATGGAACTGCATTGAGTGAATGCTGAACTCAGTTCCAGCTCTTAAATTAAACCCAACTTTTGATTTCGGGAGAGTTGTTCAACAGTATTCCAATCAGGAATAAGATCACACCCACATGGAGAAGCCGTAATATTTGCCACATACATATCTTATTCATACTTTACACGGCAGATCTCTGAAATAACCTTGCCCAGGAGAAATAATTTTTGCTCCCTTTTATTTATTTTTTATTTTTTCCTCTGCAGGCAGGTGTAGCAATCAGACACAGGTAAGTTGCAGCGAGTGCATCAGAACACATGCTCCCGTGTCCCGGCTTTCAGGGAACAAAAGCAGCTGCAAACTGACCTGCCAGCCGATCTCGAGTTAATTAGGTTTTACCTGCAGGCTGGAGTCCTTCCCTGCCAGCCGAAGGACAACAGTCCCTTGCTGCTGTAAATCATCCTTCTTGTAAGCTCCTGGAGCTGGAAAGTGCAGGAGCAAAAGGGTTTTCCTTATATTTATATATATATATAATTTTATTTATATATACATATATTATATATAATTTTTTCGCCACAGAAGTAACCAGCAAGGCTGA